CAGTCAGGCTCCCCCCCTTTTTTCTTTTTCTTTTTACAACCACCTCACTTTTTTGTTAACATTTCCATTTAGCTCATCGCGTTTGATTAAGTGCCACTTAATCTGTAATATGACCCCTTGGTTGTGTTGCGTTGCCATTATTCAGGGCTGTTCCCCCAAGGCATTGTGGGACTTGTAGGCTTTATGTGGGGACTAATTACCTGTCAGCCTTCAAATTGATGGGGGTATAGAGTCAATGGATGAAAACAAGCTGATTTCAGCTTTATAGTTTTTAGTTATAAACCTACTTTTATCTTCATTTTCAGTGGTATAATGTTCATTTTTCATACAATGTTCAAAATATATTTAATGCATATATGGTTACGTGAAGGTGTTTAACTCAAAATTGTGAGGTACACCTGGTAGTGGTGTTAAAAATTGAGTAAACCCAGCAGGAGTAAAAGTATCTGTTACTCATCTGTTACTTGTATCCATCCACTCTCAGATTGGCAAGCAGTTTTCAGACATTTGTGCTATAGAAATAGAATGTCATAAATTACTGCACTTTTCACTCTAGACTTCACCTTATGTGTTCGGCTTATTACCGCTGGTCCTCAAAACAACAAACCATGTTCAACTGTTTAGGAATATTTTATTTTAAAATAAGTCAACCTCTTCATGTTATGTCTATCCAAACAAATGTCTACAGAGCCTTCATTAGATAAACTTCCTGCTGCACTGCAGAAATCTGTAATCTTATATAGCAGAGCTGCATCGGATCCACAAAATGCTTTGGCAGCTACCATGTGAATTGAATTAGCATAAAATGAGTCATTTTTAAGCACAAATGCCAAGTTTGTGCTTTGTGCCAAATGTCAAAATTTTAACTTTTTCTGTATCATATACAAAAATACAGAATATCTTTTAGTCCTTGGACTGTTGATCAGGTAAATAATTCAAAATATTTCCATAGCCATAGTCACACTAGTGGTTGCAGACTGCAGTGCGACTAAAATTGTAGGGCGGTGAGTTGTATCTATTTAACTTTGGTATGTGTCAAGATGGCTAAAAGATGGTGTCGGTCTGTTGTTAGGTTGCAACTGAATGGGGGAAGTCGACAATTACATGCAGTTTGTTTGAAGTGTCATTAGCTTAACGCTGAACTATAGAGAAAACGGATCCTGTTAAAGCCGTAATGCTGGACTTGCAGAAGCATCGACTGAGGTGCTTCTCTCAATGTTCTCTTTAACATGAGAACATGTTTGTTAGAGCTACGCAGGTTTTTATGTATTTGGCCATCAGTCATTTTAACTGTAGTTATTGTTCACCAAGATATTAATGATTGGGTAACTTAAATGTTAGTTCCGTGTCGTGCTCAGGCAATTTCCACAGTTGCCTGAAAAACTGGGTGGCAAATAGGAACAGAGTAAATCTCCAGTAACTGTCGTCTGGATTGCTCACAGCAGTTGCGTAAAGGTGTGTTAAGCATGATGTTTGCACTGTTAAAATTTGTAACTGCTTTAAGCTCTCTGTAAGGATTGACTAATTTTAGCGACTCATCTGTTGCTCTTCTGCCTGTGGGGAATTTTTTGGCTTACAAAAGTTACTTCTTGGCCCCTCACCATCTGCAGTTTCATTTTCTTTAAAAAGAGAACATTAAAATATCCCTGGTTAAGAATTCACAGTGAGCTGTTGCTTGCCATTACTAATAATACTAGAAAAGTTGCAATATACATATTGCATTTTTATACTACTATAAATAACACTTGTGCAGTAAGCCATTAAGTTAATGGTTTACTGGTTTAATTTAATCATTAAACATTTGTCTACTTTTTCATTCCAATCCAAGACATTTATTAATGCAGTGCTACTGAGACAAACAAGAAAACAAAATGCTTAATTCTACATACTTTCCAATCTCCAGTTGCCCATTAACTTGAAGTAAAGGACAAATATCTCACTAAGACAAATCCACCTTTTAGCTGATATATATACCTTTGTTTTGTTTTTTAAACTGCTGCTCAGCCGTCAGTAAATAAGTGTTTGCAGACAAGTTGGTGTCTTCCCTTCAAACTACAGACTACTTAAATAATCTACTGTGGATTTCGTTAAGCCAATGGGAAATGCACTCCCTGTCTTGTGATCGGAGGATGCCAGGGGCTCAGGATATTTATGTTACTGAGCCCCAACATGTTTTACATGTGTGAACACACACATGTTGGGGCTCAGTGCCTGTGTGCCCTTTCCTTAATTCTGCAACCACTTCTTGAAAATCCTAATTGGTCATGGTGTTACTACAATGCAGAATTCAGCTTCTTCGTGTACTTTCAACAATGCCTACTGAGCTGTGTATATCAAATAACTGTTGAACAACAGTTTCTTAAAGTTGCTGCAGTGGTTAATTGACCAATGTTTATATAATTTTATAAATGTAAATGCAGAAAAAGAGAGAGAGAAAATTTTCCCTCTTTTTTTTTTTTTTCTCTGCCCATTTTTCTAAAGCTGTGAGCTAGGGGTTGGTGGTATAAATGGTATACGGTAGAAACAATATAAATTTGGCCAACGGTAGAGATTTTTACTATACGCTACCACAATAGCGCATGTTGATGGTGTCATCATCAAGCTGCGCCTGTTTTGGTCGAAAGCATTGCAGCGGCTGCAAACAACATCATCTGCAAATTATGCTGGGCGACAGTAATAGCAAAGAGACTAAGCACTTTTGGAATAAGAGGAAAGCCAAAAACTGCGCTTCCTCCACTTCCGTACCATTGATTC